TACCGAACTGTATCGAATTCCAAAACTAAATCTGAAGAAGAGCTCTTGATTTCTACTGGTGACAGAAATTTCACACGAAATGTTCCCACTTCTCTCTTATGCAGAGATAATAATAATAATCAGAGACAAGCGATAGCTAATGTTAGACACGCTATAAATAAATAAAACTAAGAAAAGAGCACAGCATTATATTCTTAACTAATTAGAACTATTGTATGCAAACTTCAACAGTATATTATGTTGGTCATATCAAGAGTTGATTAAAACAATCAGCGAATTCTGACAACACGGAACAGATATAACTGAAAATTCTTCGCTTATCAACTTTATAATTATCTTTACAATTTTTTTTTAATTGTAATTATGTCTTAAATTAATAAATTTTGCTTATACTACCGTAACTATTAACACATATGAGAACGATTTTCACTTCGGAAGCAATTTTACTTTATAATATAATACGGACTAACTGAAAATGTTGCCGAAACTACTATTGCATAAAGCAATCAACTATTTAATTTATTTATCTTGTCATTATAAAATCAATCAAAATACTTTTCTTTCACTTTTTGTAGATTAATTGTTTTTATAATTTATCTCTTTGCCTCTCTCTCTAAATCTGTTTTTCTCTGTCTATATCTGTGTCTATGGCTTCAGACTTCTGAGCGCTTATATTTTTCTGCTCATAAATTTTTATGATGTCTTGTTTTCGTTGAAATATTTTTTAATTTAACTTACCAACGACAATTATCAGTTAAATTATTATGATTATTTTTTTTAATTGCATTTTCGTTGAGATATATCGCAAATCAACGCGTGTGTATGCAAGATTTTTAATTTTTGTTGCAGCAATCATATGAAACAATGTGTGGCAACAGCATAAACAGGAGACTACTTGTTTATATACATCTTATGTACTGATGATGCTTATATACATATGTTGAAATATGTATCTATAAGCAAATTGTTTAAAGCATAAAAAAGATACAAGCAATTGGCAAGTAAAAGTGCGAGTGGAATTTTTTATATTTCAATTTTTGCTTGTTTTTTCTGCTTTTTCTGCATACGTCAGTAAAGAAAATACATAAGAAAAAAAAAATTGCAAGCTTTCACATTGCAACAAGTTGTTGCTACTGATTACGCGTTGCAAGTACTGATGAAAATACAACAACTTAACAAGTAAGCGGTAAATTGCTTGCAATGGGCAACTGAATCAATTAGTGTGACATCTGCTTTACACTAATTTTAGGGACGTTACGACTGTTGCTAACAACTGAACACATCAGACCGACATAACTTAATCTTATAGGTATCCACACAGAATAACAGAACAATATTTTGGAAACAGTCCAATCTTTTGGAAATCTTGAACTATCCAATCTTAAACTGTTCAATCTTGAACTGTCCAATATTAGACTGACAAATCTTGAAATAAATTTTAGAGAGCATTTTTTAATATCCATATAGTAATTATAAAAGACAATACTCTGTTCCTGCCATATTTCTTCAACATAACACAATGCCTAACATACGATAGTCACAGTAGCCAACTACAGTCGTTGACCACAGTAGCGAGTAACAGTAGCTGACTACTAGAGTCTACTTGTTTGCAATAGAGTAACCAGTGATTGTAGCTTATCGATTTTGTCTTCAGAGAATCTGCCTTTGAGCAACTTGCAGTTTCTGCATAGTAGAGTTCACAGGTTTACTATACGCCACACACCCGTAGAGAAGTGCCTGCCTGATTATCAGGATGTAGATTAACTTTCTGTTCTTAGCGCTAAGATTATTGTGTTTAAAAAGTCGTCTTAAGCACTGCAGTGTTTTCGTACAACTAACATTTTTTTCTTATATATGCTTGTGTCAAGTGAACCGCTTATCAAACGTGTTTCCCAGGTATTTGATGCTGTTCTCTGAATTTATCCCAATGTCACTAACTCTCACTCTCGGTAGATGCTGCCTGTATTTATGAATTATAAACAGGGACTTAGTTTTTCCGTTGTTCATTTTTATTTTCTATTTCTGAAAGAATTCCAGGATGTGAATAATATGCTCCTGCAACGTGTTGGTTATATTTCTGGCATGTTTATCGGAAAATAACATATACGTGTCATCTGTGTATAATGCTAGTATCGAGGGACTTAGCATTGGGATGTTCGACGTAAAGATGTTGTACAACAAAGGGGAGAGCAACGATCCTTGAGGAATTTCGACTTCTATTCTTCGGAGGGATTTTGTATATACAATTATACTTATTGTTACATATTTATCGAGTTAAATGTGTTAGTGTAAATGTACTCTTATTTTTAGAGAGATTAATTCTCAAGAGCACATTTCTGTATAGATTCTGTATGAATAAAGCTACATATTTAAAACCGATAGTGTAAACATACTGTAAATTCGCAATGACAGCTAAAAACCGTATATATTGTCTAATAATATATATTGTATATTTTATTATTTGTCTTTTTGTTCGTTAACAGTCTATCGGAGAGCTATTGGCTCTTTGCAGTTCATTTATAAACTCAATTTAAGTTGCACTTATTTTACTATATCTACAGATTTTTTATATGATTTTTTCTATTTTTTATTTAAAAGGAAAATCAAAACTTTTTGTTAGTGATAAAAAATTTCAGTTAAATTGGCAAAATGACAAACTACTTTTACTTTGTAATGAATTGTAATTTTTGTTTTTATTTTGTTTCAATTAATTGTTGTATTTTTTATTTCTTCTGTTGCAAATTTATTCATTTTTTTTTTTTGTCATTACAACCATTTGAAATCTCCTCAGCTGCGTTACATTCAAGTGAAATTTTCGCAAAATTAAAATAAGCAAATATGCCAAAATGAAATGCATTTTCGTATAACTACACAATTATAAGTTTTTTTTTGAGTTTTTCCAGTTAAACATGAAAAATATTTGCTTTAAGGTTTATAGGTTTTTGTTCGCAGTAGTTCAGAAAAACAGGAGATGCTTCAATCTTCAAATATAAATTTTCAACACTTATGCAAATCATAATTTTTTTAATGTTTCAAATCATTTAAGCAACTTTTCTCCCTGCAGCCTAAAGTCATTTTCATCTTTAAAACTTAAGTGAACGATTTTTTTTTATTTAACTCAATACTAACAATATAAATAGTTGAGTTCAGTTACGTTTTGCTTCTGTGTATATTTCCTTTCTTCAATATTTTATGTTTCTTTAAAAATTTATGCCATTTTTATATGTGACTCAAAATTAAATTTAATATTGAATATTTATTCACAACTCTTTAAAATAAAATCGTAAAAGTGTGTACTAATGCACTTGCTGAACATATTATATAAAAATTTAAATATTGTATCTTAAGCCTTAAAAGTCACTTTTATCTTTATCAAATTTACTATGCAATAATGAAAAAAAATAAAAAAAATTAAAATGCAGTCCATAACCCGTAAAAGCAACAAGTTTGTCGTGTGGTGTTTATGTGGCTGTTGGCTTTAAAGCCATTCAAAATATCAGTTTTAAACCCATTCAGGCAATCAGCTTTAAACCCATTCAGGCTATCAGCTTCGAAGCCGTTCAATCCGCTATTAAACAATTTCACTATAAAATAAATAAATAAATAAAAAAAGTTCAGATACATAAACTTAATTATGCATTTGAACTCTTAAAAACTCGTTCAAACCGAATTTTAGTTTTAATACATTCAGCCTATATATCGAATTTATTTTTTAAATAAATTATATACCTACATATAAAAAATACCTTCATTTTTTTAAATGAAAAAGTGCATTAAATTTGTTATTTAATTTAATCTTAATTAATTGAAAATTACTGTGTGTAATAAAAAATTCATTACAATTCAATTAAATTGATTCGGCAGCGATCTGCTGAAACTGTGTAATCGTGTAATCAACTGAAGTAGCAAATTAACTGTATTACACAAATTTAAAAAACAGTAAAACAATTTCGCAACGATGGCCTAATTTTAATAACTGGAAATGTCAGTGTACGACAGCAGTCAGTTAAAAAGTGAAACACGGCTTATCTAAAAAGCGATATACCTACATAAAGATATAAGACATAAGAAGCTGGATGATACTTAGAGAAGACTACGAATGATAATTCTAAATTTTCTGTCACATAAAGTGTGAGTAAAGCAAAATATACATTTTTGTATAAAAAATCGCAGTATTTCATAAAATAGAGCAGGGCTGTCCAGACCAGAAGCGCTCGCCAGCCAATACGAATCACTGTATAGATTGGAGGGCCGCAGAAACAATAAAAATTCGGTTATAATGTTAAATTTACTTGTATTAATATATTAATTTAACTTCATTCATTTGGTATGCCATAAAAATAAAATATTATAGTTATACAAGTACAACAAAAGAAAATTTGAGTTATTTTGATAGATTAAAAACATGTCGCGAGCCGCACAAACATTAGTAATGGGCCGAATGTGACCTTCTGGCCGTGCTTTGGATAGCTCTGCTACAAAGGAATAAAATATTAATGCCAAAATATAATACTTCTTGAATTCTAATAGGAATAACTAATAGAAAATATTAATTATTGTGATATAATAATTTATATTGTTTATTTCTTAGTAGAGCTTTGGAAACTACTTTCATTTCTAAAGTTGAGTATAGCGCGAACCATGGGATCAAATACGTTATGAATATAGAAAGTGTCCAGACAAATTCACGACAAAGCCAAAAAACCCAACAAATGTTTTAGGTCAACGCTACGATCTTCATTTCTTTCAGTGACATATGGCATGGTTGGAGCTGATAAGACAGACAGGTGAATTTTTTATTCTAAATTTAAGAGAATCTGCATCCTTAAATCCCATTCTTGAATGGTGGTAGTTTACCGAGCATGCCTATTTAAGAAACCATTTATTAGTCTAAGCATATATATAAACTGAGAAACCTGTCAACATTGTTTCTGTGGCGACGCAGTAGACTATGAGTTAATTGAAATTTAAATGTAAAATTCAATTTAAAATATATTCAGTTTTATGGATGGGTAGCACATTACGGCGTTCCTCTCATTATCACCACAGATTTAGGACGTCAGTTTGAATCAACGATCTTCCGAGAGTTGTCCAGATTATTGGGTATCAAGCACATTCACACGACAGCATATCACCCCCAAGCGAATGGGATGGTTGAACGTATGCATAGGACGTTGAAAGCTGCTTTGCGTTGCCATAGTTCTAATGACTGGACGCGCACTCTCCCATTAATTCTGCTAGGGTTGCGGACTACCCCAAAGGAAGATCTAGGCGTCAGTTCCGCTGAAATGTTGTATGGAAACCTGTTACGTGTTCCTGGACAGCTATTGTTACATTAATGCCAAAAACCAGGTGAAACCGATTTCGTTTCAACACTTCGTAAAGCATTGGCTCAGCTGAAGACAATCAACGGCAGCAGACATGGACATCATCCAGTATATGTTCCAAGCGATCTGCAAACCAGCAAGTTTGTATTCGTGCGTATCGATCGGGTGAGAGCTCCATTGGAACAGCCTTATGAAGGACCGTTTCAAGTGCTGCAACGAGTTCAGAAAAATTTCGTTATTAACAGAAGAAGGAGCAGGTGCACCGTCGCATTAGACAGGTTAATTTACTAGCTTATTTACCAGCTTATTTTACTAACGATGAAGACGTCGGCAAGCAGTTTTCGCCATCGTCCGTAGTCAGTCATGAGCGGAAACAAGCATTCGAGAAGAGGGTTCCTAAACCGTCGGTCGATTCATTTCGCAGTGCATTTCCCAGCGAAGCTGTGTGACTACCGCGAGTAACAGTATTAACTTCTCTTCATGTGTAGCGCGCCGTCGCCCAAACGTCGCTAGGAGGGGGTACTGTGGCGACGCAGTAGACTATGAGTTAATTGTAATTTAAATGTTTATGAATTCGTTGAAGGAAAACGTTTCCAATTTCGCTCTTAGAAAATTTAAATAAAGTTTGTTTGTTGTTGTTAAATATTCGTGTTTTTATTGATTAGCAAAGTGTGGAGTCCTTTGCTAAATTTCTATTGACTTTAATGAGTTTTCTGATAACTATACAGCAAGAGTAGATAAAATCGAAAATTTTTTTTCCTTTAAAATTGATTTCAGAGATAGGTCAATTTTCCACTCAAACATTCAGATAATCTGCAGTTATCAGCATTCTTGAGTTCTTAAAGGGTCTAGGCTTGTCTCCTGATAACCGCATAGCAAGAGCAGTTAGAATATGAATTTTTCATATTGTATTTTAACGAATATGCAGATGTTAGTGCTCTTTGTTCCAACCTTTCAATGGCATATTGATTTGTGGAACTATTGTTAAGAAAGTTTCAACATTGTACATATTGACTAAAAAAACTGAGTTTATTTTTTAGTTGGTTTAGTTGGTTGCAAGGGCAGGCCATTAGCTAACTTCCATGTATCTCAATTAGCAATTTTCCGACGTTTTGCTATCACATTCCTCTCAAGAATACTAGTATAGAAGAATAGAGACTAAATCCATTCCACCGAATTTAGATAATTTTATAGGTCTTTCGCCTTCACCGATGAACAGTCTGATAAATGAACGCTTAAAACTATGAAGCCAAAATATTGGATCAGTTAGTACAAAAAAAAATTAGAGTTTTGATTCGATAGATCAAAGTTAGATTCGGTTTGTAACATTATGAAAAAAAATTCTTTATAATTAGTTTTAGACTCATTAAGTCTAATTTCAACAAAATCAGTACTTTGCTCAAGATAAATCAATTATTAAAATCTATTATCACTATTTGCAATAATATAATGCAATATTATCATATCTTAATTAAATGAAATAAAACATGATTGACATATCTCTTAATACTGATATGCTGCTTGGAAAGCTATATTTCGTTTTTTGATACCAAAAAAAAAATATAATATTAATAAATGAATTTTTCTTTAAAAAAGACTTAAACTTTAAACAACCATATTAATATAAAAATAAAATTAAACTAAGTTTTATAAAAAAAAAATTTATTGAAGTGAACGATATTTTTGTACTCATATATCACATAAAAATGTATCTATATTTAACACTAACAAACTACATCTTTTTATAAATATTTTCCCAATAATATCGCATTACATTAGCTGATCAATAAACTTATTTGAGTTATCGATTCGACGTTGCTCATTAACATATCGCGCTGCATCCAATTAGTTATTCCTTTTTAGTTACTTCATCTTCATTTAAATACTCGTAATTTTAAGATTTTTTTAATTTCTTTCTTAATCAGATTTCAGAGGTGTGGCAAATTAACATGTAGCTAATTCCACGGAATGCAAAAAAAACCCTCAAATATTTTTAAAGATTGTAAAACATTTTGAGAGGCGAAAAATTTCATTAGTGAAACTTCAAAGATATTTTCGCCGTTTGTGACTGAAGTGAATGACAAATCGCCAGACTCTAAAATATGTGAAAAATTTTGCCTAAATAAATTAGTAAACATGAGTCAAATATCTCATACGAGTAGGTAATCTTTTTTTTTTTTTGGTATGTTGTACAATATATGAGATGATTGATTCTGTTCAAAAAGATTTATTTCAATTTATTCATTTTATATTCCCATTAATTTCAATTTAAAGAAAGAGTTTAGTGCTTTGAAAATGAAAGTTTCAAAAATCGAATTACAATTCACTTAATTGAATTTAATATATTTTATTGCAAAATTATGCATATTGAGACATCATCTTGATTTTAATGCAATAAAATTCTAATTTATTGAGTTATTAAATTTTTTTTACGATAAGAGTGA